TGTCATTTTCAGATAAAATGTTCGTCTAATGTTTTATGCCCATTTTATTTTAAAATAATTTTTATCTTTACTTATCTTTAAAAAATAAAAATAAAAATATCATATCAACCTATTAAGAATGTGAGAGATTTTAAGTTTGATTTTTATCATGTGCACAATTAATTTAACATTATATTGATGTTTAATTTTATTTAAAAATAATTGATCTACACTATCAGTATATAATGCAGCAGTGGAGATGTGATTTAACTCTTTTTTAGTAGCGCATTCAAATCAGTCATTTTACACACCTTATCAACTTAAATATTCTCTCTCAGAACTTCAGTCATCTCCTTCTACCATCCACAGTCTCTCTTTTTCCCATCCTGTTCCATTGTTGCAGTTATTTTCCAGAAAATATCTCCACTCGCGCTTCCAGCTTTGAGCGTTAAAGCAGAGATATGCTTCTTAATTAATCCCCAACTATGGATGGCTAAATTATTTTTACTCAAATTTCATTTTCCTATATGTTTTCTTTGGCTGGTTGCAATCTTTTAATGGATATATCTCTTCATATTACTTCCATGATATATTACTTCTATGAGTGTCTTATTATTATTATTTTTTTCATTTTTACATTAAACAATCTCTATATATACCATTATGTTGATTGAATCAGACAAATAATATTAAGTGTTTTAATTAGTCATGTTTAAATATATCTTTATTTTAGAATTTTTTATTGATTATGTTTTAATTCATTCCAATTATTTGTAATTAAGGTTTGTTTTTAATTAATATAATGATGATTAAAATTTTTTTCCTAATTATTGTTTTACTATCTCTTTCAATCTAATATTTTATTTGCTTGACACAATATTTTATTTATTTGACACAGATTTCTGATTATTTTACCAAATTAAGTTTAACTAGTCTCTCTACAAAAACCAACAACTTCTTAGCTTTGACCATCAGTGAGAAAGAAAAAGCAGCTATAACATAATTAAGGTATGTATATGTGTACTAATACTTTCTAATTAATATCTTTAGGAAGATCTAAATTAAACTCTATGATATATATTTTTATTGTTTTCTTTCTATCATCTTTGCTATTTTAAATTTCAACACGCGAAACTAATTAAATCAATTCATTAGGATAAAATACTATTTTGATAATAGTGTGAGGTATTGAGGAGATTAGCCTAATTTGTATTTCAATCCATTTCTTTCTCTTCTGTAGAAAAGATCTTCCATCCAATGGAGTTGTTATCTTCTGTTGGAGGTTCTGTTTTATCTGGAACATATGAGGCGCTACTTTATCAGTTGAGTGGATGTATAAGTGATCAATTGATTGGATATCTAAGTGATCAGCTACAGGATTCAGAGGAGGAAGTACGTGCCAAGATGGAAAGTTGGAAGGCTTTATTGTCCAAAATCACAGCTATACTTCAACATGCAGAAGAAAATCAAGGCGCCAACATGTTTGTGAAGTCATATCTTGATGATCTCAAGGACTTGGCTTATGATATGGAGGACATACTTGAAGAGTTTGAGATTGCCAGGAGGTCCGAATTGACTGCAGAACCTGATGCTAGAGCCAACAAACGACAAAAATTCACCTCCAATATCATTAATTTACTTACATCTAAGGCGCCACCCAATCAAAAGATTGATTCCATGGTGAATGATCTGAATGTTAGATTGGAGCGTTTTGAAAAGGGTATGGGTACTTTTGGCCTGTTCAATTTGCATATGAGAGTTGAAGATAGGTCCCACAAAGCAATTGCAAAAAGACTACCTGAGTCTTCACTTCTTGAGGATAAGGTGTTGGGTCGAGATAGTGATAAAGATGCTATTCTTCAAAGATTGCTAGAAGATGGAGGCAATCTCGAACAAGACTTTGTTATTCCTATTGTTGGAATGGGTGGACTAGGCAAGACAACTCTTGCTCGGCTCATTTACAATGATGAAAACTTGGAAGGCAGGTTTGACATGAAGGCATGGGTTTATGTTTCTGATGAGTTTGATGTTGCTGGAATAACAAGAAACATTTTAGAACATGTTACTGAGGCAAAGCATGATTTTGAAAATTTTGCTTTGCTTCAAGAGAAATTGAAAGTGAAGTTATCTGGGCACAAGTTTCTTCTTGTATTAGATGATGTCTGGAATAAGGAATATGGCCAGTGGGATGTCTTGAAGAGACCTTTCATGTCAGGAGCTCCTGGAAGTAGAATAATTGTCACAACTCGAAATAAGGATGTTGGGAAAATGATGAGAGGAGATGATAGAGTTTACAATTTAGAATTGCTGCAAGATGATGCTTGTTTGCCATTATTTACACAACATGCACTGGGGAAAGAGAACGAGAACTTTGATGCCCACCCAAACCTACAAGATGTTGGTGAAAAGCTTGTTAAGACGTGCAAAAGATTGCCACTGGCACTAAAAACACTCGGTGGCGTCTTGCGGGGAAAACTGTGTCGTGATGAGTGGGAAAGTATATTAAATAGTGAGATATGGAGTTCATCAGAAGATCAAAGTGGAATTCTTCCTGCTCTGAGATTGAGCTACAATCATCTTCCTTCTCACTTGAAGCGATGCTTTGCTTATTGTGCTTTGTTCCCTACAGACTATGAATTTGATGAAATGGAGTTGATCCGATTATGGAAGGCTGAGGGCCTATTACATGGAAAGAAGCAAATGGAAGTTGGTAAACAATATTTCCAGGAGTTGTTATCGAGATCACTCTTTCAACCGTCAAGCAGAGTTGAATCGCGGTTTGTGATGCATGACCTCATAAATGATTTGGCTATACATGTTGCTGGAGAAATACATTGCAATCTTGAACGTAGTATGGGTGATGGAAAATTAGAGAAAGCCCGTCATTTGTCATTCACTCCACAATACTCTGAATTCTCAAAAAGATTCAAAGTCTTGAAAGAATTGAAGCATTTGAGAACATTCTTATCATTAAGAGCACCCAATAACTACTATTTTTCCTCTTTGCCTAACAGAATCTTGCATGAGATCTTGCCAACTTTCAATCGCTTAAGAGTGCTATCTCTTTGCAAATATGAGATAAGTAAGCTACCAGATTTTGTTGAAAAGTTGAAACATATCCGATACATTGATTTGTCTCGAACAAAAATTGAATATTTACCTGATTCAGTGGGTTCTTTTCTCTTCTTGCAAACATTGTTATTATCTAGTTGTGAAAAGCTTACTAAGTTGCCTACAACAGTTGGAGATCTAAGTGATCTCCATTGTCTTGATATCACTGGAACACATTCTTTAAAGGAGATGCCATCAGGAATAGGCAATCTTAAAAATCTTGTAACACTGTCCAAATTTATTGTGGGGAAGGCAAGTGAAATGATGTTGAGATTATCTACTTTGAAGAACTTGTCACAACTTCGAGGAAGACTATCTATTCTAGATCTGGAAAATGTTTTGCATGTTCAAGATGCTGTGGAGGCCAATCTAGACAAGATCCACGGTTTGGAAGAGTTAGTCTTGGAGTGGGGGCAGATTGCTCCTTTTAACGATGAAGATGAATCAATCCAAATGAAAGTCTTCAGCTGGTTAAAACCTCATTCAAATTTGAAAAGTCTTGAGATTTCTTGCTATGGTGGAAAAAGTTTCCCAATCTGGGTTTGTGATCCATCCTTATTTTTGAATTTATCATCCATGGAGCTCAGGCATTGTGGTAGATGCACTTCGTTACCATCACTCGGCCTACTACCTGTTCTCAAAAAATTATTTATTATAGGCATGAAGGCAATAGAAGCTGTAGGTTCTGAGTTTTATGGGAAACAAGGCTGTTTTCCATCACTAGAGGAACTAGCATTTGCAGGCATGGAAAATTGGAAGGAATGGACTTCTCCAAATGGACGTGAAGGTGAATTCCCTTGTCTTCGTAGGCTTATGATTAATGGTTGCCCTAAGTTAGGCCTATTACCTAGCAACCTTTCTTCACTTAAAGAGTTGTCTGTTTATTGGAACAATGCAATGCTACCTAACAACCTTTCTTCACCTAAAGAGTTGCTTGTTTATTGGTGCAATGAAATGCTACCTAACAACCTTTCTTCACTTAAAGAGTTGGATGTTGTTGGCTGCAATGTGATGCTACCTAACAACCTTTCTTCACTTAAAGAGTTGGATGTTGCTGGCTGCAATGCGATGCTTTTAAAGAGTGTTGTTAATCTTACTTCACTCACTAAATTTAGAATTCAGAATATTTCAAAGCTAACTTGCTTGCCAAAGAGTTTTGTTCAATCCTTGACAACAGTTGAGACTCTGTCTATTGAATCCTGCAAGGATCTTACTTGTCTGTGGGAGGAAGGGGCAAAAATAGAACAAAACCTCTTGCCTTTCAATCTTAAGCATCTTACCCTTCGGAAATGTATAGCTTTGAAGTCATTACCCGATGCAATTATGATGAGGATGGATGAAAGCAGCTGCAGCAACAGTAGTATGGTGATGTTGAGATTGGAAAGTTTGAAAATTGATGGTTGTCCTTCTCTCAAGTCTTTTCCAAGAGGCAAATTACCCATCTCGCTTAAACGTTTGGAAATAAAGGGCTGTAAAAGTCTTGAGTCTCTACCGGATGTTGATGGTGACAATAATAATAGCAATCTACAGTTGGAAATAGCAAATGTTCCATGCTTGTATTCTTCTGAGAATTGTGACCAGCCACCGGCTTTTCTCAAGAAATTTGGAGTTAGTAAATGCGACTGGTTGGAATCATTTCCAGAGAGGATGCTGCAGCGTTGTACGGGACTCCAATCTCTTAGTATTCACAGCTGTAAAATATTGAGAAGTTTACCCACCTTTGATTGCGTCAGCAATCTCGTTGAATTATCTATTCAGAACTGTGAAGCTTTAGGGTCATTGCCAGAAGAGTTGGGATCATGCACCCCCAATCTAAAGGATTTGAAAATAATCAGCTGTAAGAATTTGAAATCCCTCCCAAATACGATGCATAAGCTGGAATCTCTTGGAAGGCTAGAGATGAGAGACTGTCCCGGCATCGAGTTCATTCCAGATGGGGGTTTGCCCCTAAACTTAACAGATCTTGACTTGTGGGGTAGGAATCTCAAGCGGTTGCCGAATACAATGTACCAGCTCACATCGCTTCAGCGTCTAAGAGTCGCAGGTGGGGCTTTGATGTCTCTTGAACGGTTGACAATTGAGCAAAAATTCCCTCAAGATATTGTGCTGCCTTCTTCTTTAACCTGGCTTCGGTTGGATTCTGGAGAAAATTTGGAATCCATACCTCGAGGGCTCTTCCTAAACCTAAGCTCCCTTCAAAAGTTATGGATACATAACTGCCCAAAGCTACAATCTTTGCCGAGGGAAGCCTTCCCTCCCTCGCTTGGGGAACTATTCATCTGCGGGTGTCCGCATCTAAAACGACCGCGCTTTGAGGAGAAAGGAGACTATTGGACTCTCACATGGAGCATCCCAAAGGTTCGCATAGTATGAGGTAATAAGAGCTTGGTGTGAACTGAAATAGGCATCACCATTTTATGCTTTTCATATGAGAATTTAGAAAAATTATAATAGATAGCACTTTTCTTTAACTTCTGCTGCCTTTTCTTATATATATGTGTTGCACATCTTTTTTGTGCAGGATTATCAATTGTTAGGTTGCTACAAGCCTACAACCAATTGTTGAGGTAAACAAAGCCAGGTCACTCCTCAATGTTACTAGTACTTCATTTATTCGCTGGATTCATCAGTTGTATATTATTATATACTATTTATTGTCCACCTTAAATTTATTTTCCTTTGAAAACATGCATGCATTCACTTGCCTCAAAAATGGCTTACGCTTTCAGATTATTTTGGAAGGGGATGAGTGGTTGGCCCTGGCATTATGGAAATTCAAAACGACCAAGGAGCTCACTGCTTGCAAAATGATGTTCTTAGGCAAGCCAACCAATTTCAATTTTAAATTCAATTACTGCAGGAGCTAACGTTTTCCATTCTGAAGAATTGGGAAGATTTTTGAAACAAGGAGTTGCTGATGTTGAAATGAGGTTTTTCTGTAAGCTAGAACTGGAATGTGGATGACCTTTGCTGAATTAAGCAAGCTTTTAATTTGACTAAATCAAGTTGCAGTTTTACAAGTTTTTTATTCAGGAAAGCAGAACTTACCCTGTAAGTATCTAATTTATCTCTTAAAAATTGTATTGTGATGCCTACTTGGTTTGCTATTTTTGTTGTTTAGGACAAGGAATCAAAACCGATATGTTAGGCTATCTCTATGCTTCATTTTACTTGAGCAAAGTTATACATTTTGATGATGATATACCAGTCTATTCCTCTACTATCTGTGATGTTAGTTGCCTTAGAATTAAATTATTATTTCTCGTTCCTTCCATTTCTTGATTAATACATATTGGTTGCATTAAAGATTGTCTAAATTTTTGTCATATATTCTGCAATTTAAACTTTTTTTTTTCCAGAACTTATAGATTTCTATAGCTTTGTGTTATTATTTTACTTTGATTTCATTTCAGCAATTCACTTATCCATCTTTCCTTTCTATGTTACAATTGATACTTTTTGTTTTCTTAAAACTCTAAATGAATTATTTTCTCAAATTTCAATCTAGCCTTTGATTTTTCTAATTTCCCATCCTTTCTTCATGTTCCCAGTTGCTTGTGCAGAGCACAAAGCAAAATCTTGTTAGGCCTATGTAGGACCCCTTTGTTTTGTGACTCCCTTTTTCCCTTTATGTGCCAGAAGTTATGAGCATACTCTAAATTGTAGGGGTACTGCTTGTACCCTGTTTAATATTTCATTTCCTGATAAAAAAAATGTCATGTGCTTGCTTATTTCTATTCTAATTGATTTTTGTTGTCTGGTATTTGTTTTACCAGCTATTTGTATCACCATTTTTCTTAATTTTGATTCCAATGCATGGAGATCAGGTAGATATCAAGAAGTTAGTCTCCCACATGAGTTCCCTAGCTTGCCTCCATTCCCATCTTCTTATTCATCTCACATTTCCCATAATTATAGTGATTGCTTCCTTACTATCGTGCAACGTCCAACTTAGTTCATGATTTAAATCTTATAGCATCTGATTAAGCCCTTTACCTTTTTCAAGTCAACTATAGGATTAATTAAAAGGTTGATCTAAGATTCCAAGATTCCAAGTTCAAGCCTCCCTTTTTAGGCTAGATATTTCTTCAACAAGTAGGTCCTGGATGCTTTGACATTAATGTTGCTTTCATATAGGAGATGATGCTTCCAGGATGATGAGTCAGAAATGAATGATCCAACTTTGTACTGTGTTCCCTCTGTATTCATCCTAAGTCACATCCAAGATTGCAGCACAAACACTGCTGCTTTATCCGCTGCTTTACCTAAGAATGGGTTGACTTGGAAAGCAGCTTCAAGATCTAACAAGTTGATGAAAAATGGTGGTGTTCACAAATCTATCATAGTTGTTGGCTTGCAGCTATAATCTTCTACCCTCCAAAGAATGCCCTCTTTGGTAAGGCAGGGTTCACTTTCTCGTCCCTCGATTGTTCAGAGTGATTCTCTATCATTTCATCAAGATAATGCTAAGCTTTAATTCATTTTTGCAGGACATGGATTTTCTTTGAGTTTCTCTAGTAACTTCCCTTGATCAATTCCCTAAATCAAGGACAATTCGAGGATATATATAAAGGTGGATGGAGTAAAGCTTCGAGGCAGCATTATGCACAAATCATTTCGAGGTGCATTGTCACATTTTAATCTTTAACATGCTCAAATTTTAAAATTTTAAATCAAGTCGTTAGTTGCAGGAGAACTTATTATTAGGCTAATTTATGCCATACTCAACTATGTTAAGTAACCATTTTAGTTTCTTATTTCTTCAGGATTCTTGTGTTGTATCTATCCATCCATCTGGTGTTAAGAAAACTCTTCATGAACGCATAAATGAACTGCATGGAGCTGGGACTTTGGATGTAACAAGTCAGTGCAGCTTTGAATAACAGCTGGTGGCTGGTTTTGATCAACATTGCAAAAACAGTGCAGGGACTGTGAGAGTGAGTTGCAACAGCAACAGGAAGGTTAGTAGAGGAGTCATGGTTCTACTCAATGTCAACAGTGATTTGGTCTCCAATTCCTCTTGGTACACAATCAGCACACTTTATGAGATTCCCAATTTGATTGGAGATTTTGACTTCTAGCTTTATTTTGGTGATGATTAAGACATTAGTGATCCAACAATTTTATTTTTAATGACTGATTGTTGTGTACAACCTCTAGTGTTTCCTAAAGTAGAGGAAACTTTGTAATAATGCTATTTTTAAAGTGTGTGTTTTGCTAGATTAGATTCCGTAGTTTTTTTTACTAAAGGAATTATCACATTAAAAAATATAGTGTCTTGATTTTATGGATGTGATAATTTTTATTTTTGTTAGTTGCTTGACTTATTTTTGAGTTTGATTATTTTCCATTTAATTGCATAGAGAGAAGAATACCAGTTGAATGTGTTATATACGCAAATTGGTTTTTGATCCATGAATCCCCAAAAGCTAGAAAAGCTTGCTTTTATCTTTGTGATACCTTTCCAAATTCAAGTTATTAGCTGTGCTGGATGGACTCTTTAGTGGTAGACCATAATTGAACTTGAGTATACCTTCAACCCAAACACGGCTTTAGGATTTGATTCATGTACATATTTTTGAACTCAATTGAATAGAACAGATGGTTGTTGTTCTTAGAAAAAGAAAGGTAAATGATTTATATCCTGAAGGAGTATTACTTAAAATTAGGAAGAGAATGATCTCTATATTTTATGGCTGTGAATAGTTTTATATATAAGAAATGAAATATTAACATCATTAGTACATTCACTTCAATTGAACACTGAACAATACTCAGGAGCTGGAAAGGTCAGGGATAATATCTGATACCAATCTAGAACAGCCAGGCTGAATGATCTTTTATCTTTTATCCTTATAGCCACGCCTGTTGTACACGCATCCGGGTGAACCCATGTGAACCATCACCCTCTTGAAGTCCACAAGTCAATCATCTAAGCAAATCATTTCAAAAAGTTAGCACAACAGCACCGCACATCACCTACAAAAGTCAGCACAAGAATATCAGTTGAAAAGCTAACTGTTAGTAACAGCCCTAAGAATGAGTTACCTTGTAATCAGTCTCTGCTGTATACTTATATTACAAGTGATATCTAATATTTAAATTTGAGATTTTTTTTTTTTTTGCCTAAGGAAAATATGTAAAATGAAGCATTTGAATGTCAAGTTAAACCTTGGGACTGTAATCTTGGGATTCTTGAAATGCCATGACATCCAAGCCTTTGACAGGGTTTAAAACAATCTTTTGTTCTAAAGCAGCATTTATCAGGTTAAGAACCACCCATGGATTGGTCTCTATATAAATATACTAAAATGGAAATCAAGGGCTCAAAGGCAATTATGTTCACTTGCAAATTCCTATTACTGGTCTTCCAAGTTGGAGAGACATATACTACCATATCCACAAAGAGATGAATGCAAGGAAGGTAAATAAATTAGCACAGATATAACATCTATAGTTTAAATTGAAAAGACGCAAAGATTGAGCAGATATAGAAGAACATATAAAGAAATCTTACCACACTGCTCCCACTTTATGAAAATTCACCAGCCATGTGCTTGAACCAGTCTGTGTAGATAATACACAATC